AGATAGGCTCTAAGGACCCACCTAATGAAGGCGTCAGGTCTGCTTATCTGGCACTGTCACATCAGTGAGGTCACATTTTAAGAACATTTTGAGGCAACCTGTGAATAGCAAAGGGCTCTTACCCAGAATCTTCCCCAACTATTCTGGCATCATAAGTCTCTATATGGAGTTTGTATTAATAATATAGAAATTCCCAATCTTCACAGAAGCCTGTTTGGCTTTCTTAATCATTCTTCTCATTCCATAATAATACTCCTCTTCCACCATATGTAAGAGGTAGAACCAGGAACACACACCCCCAAGAACTGAAATTATAAAGGATTGTGAGATTCTACCAGGAGGCAGAAAGCATCATCCACAATGAGCACTAAAATAAGATTTGCTGGTAGGAAGTTTTCTATCACTTTCACTCGGGGATAGAGTGTTTCTCAACCAGTGGCAATTTGTCTCCTGAGGTCACCTTACAATGTCTAGAGGCAGTTTTGATTTTCACCACTGTGGGAATGCTATCACCATCTAGTGGGTAGAAGTCAAAGATGCTGCTAAACATCTTTCAATACAAAGGACGGCCTCACACAATTCGAAAATGTCAACAGTACCAGGTGGAGAAACTCTGCCCTAACCTATCTGGTGAGCCCTTTGAGGGATCAGTGGGCATTTCCACATCTTCATAGTCATGATAAACATAAATGTGAAGCCAAGCTAGGACCACCAAGGCTATTCCCTGCAGAAATTCACCCAGGAAAATTGGATGGGGCAGGGAGGTTTGGGGGAGCAGCAGAGTGAAGACTTTCTGAAGGATCAGTGAGAATGCCAGGCCTCCTGGACATCTCCATGGGAAATTTTAGGTTTTTCCATAATACACTAATTACTGCCCTGTCACATCACAAGGAGAACAGGCTGGCAAACCTAGGTACTAAACTAAATAATCTGTGGCATAATCTAAACATACAACGGTAATTAAGCCTGACAACTTAATATGCTACTGAAATTTAAATGTACAGAAGTAATCTACAATTAAGCAATCTTTTGTAATAGCACCCTGCCAGGCTGGAAGATTTCAGGTATAATACTGTGTACTATTAGGTAGCAAAAATATTGACATTAGTAAAATGTACCCAGGCTATGATATGACACATTCAAATTAACCATTGCTAGAAAAGGAGATGGAGTTAAGGTGGAAATTCAGTTGCTGTCCTTCAGCCGGCATCAGAAGCAGATTTTCATACAGCTGCTTCAGCTGATGTGAATGTGTCTGTACCCAATTAGAACACTGGATTCTAAACATCAGGATATTTCAAGTCCTTTATTAGCAGAGAACTGGAATCAGAAAGTGGGGTTCAAAGGAGGATTTCCCCATACAGAGGTTTCCCCTTTGTAGAAAACTGATTTCAATATTTTATTGAAAATTCCAGTCAAACCTTGTATATCTTAATAGGGTTACAACTTAAGTAGGTACCCTGAAAAAGGGTATGGGCTTTGAAGTTGTTACTGATCAGGCTGTGAAGCTTCCTCCATTATTTACAAGCCATGTGATCTTGGGCGTGGTATGTAAATCCTGGTGGCAGTTTTCTCATCGTCAAAGGTAATCTCACTATAGTTAACTCACAGAGTACATGTAATAATCATGTAATTCTTATCTCTTTACAGTATCTACTGCTTACAGCAGCCAGAGATCTTTTACACATATTCATTGGATAATCTCATTTCCTTACTTTAAATTCTACAATGTTGACCCATGGCAATTAAAGGAAAATCTAGGATCTTGCAAGCCAGCAGGGAGTTTTTATTCTCTCTTCCTTCATCCTGTTCACACTGGCTATTACCCACCATGGGTTCTTTATCATAACCCTTCTGCCAGGATGACTTTTCCTTTTTCCTCAGATTCTGTCCCAATGTCAGAGAAGCCCCCCTTTGGGGCCTTATATAAAGTCGTGTCTCCAAACTCAATGACTATCCTCTGAAATTTGGGGTTTTCTCATACTCATCAATATCTGAAAATCTTTTGTATTTGCAACATGTGGTATGTGACTGGGGCAAGAACTGTACATAGTTCTAGTATGGAGTAGATACTTCAAAATATTTATAAAGGAAGAAAGGGAGGGAGGAAGAAAGGAGAAAGGAAGAAAAGGAAAGAAGGAAGGAAAAAAGGAAGGAGGAAAAGAAAAAAGGAAAAAGAAAAGACTGAAGGAAAGGAAGAAGGGCAAAAGAAAGGAAAGGAGAGGGGGAAAGGGAAGAAAGAAAGAAGAACAGGAGGAGAGGAAAGGAAGGAAGGAGGGAGGGAGGGAGGGAAGGAAGGAAGGAAGGAAAGGTGGGAGGGAAAGGAAGGAAAGAGAAAGGAAGGGAAAGGAAAGAGGGAAGAAATGGAAAGAAGGAAGAAAGGAAGGAAGGAAGGAAGGAAGGAAGGAAGGAAGGGAGGGAGGGAGGGAAGGAGGGAGAGAATGAGGAAGGGGAGAAAGAAGGGAAGGATAAAAAGAAAGGAACGAAATTAGAAAGGAAAAAAAGGAAGGAAAGGAGGGAAAGGAAGAGAAGAGAAGGGAGAAGAAAAGGGAAAGAGGGTGCATGAAACAGATAAGGCATCTTAATCTGAGAATAAAATAGAACTTTAATTCCCCCAAGTCTTCCTGCATTATGGAAATCTCAGACATATATTTAAGGAAAAATAATTTCAGGTATTTAGATCCCATCAAGAGTAAGAATTATCAGTGAATTAGGATCTCTAACCAGCCATGTAAACCTTCCTCTTTAATAGCTGTGTGAATCCAGTTAGCCCTCTGCGCTTCCATTTCCTCACCAAAAACTGAACAATTTTGTGAAATCCTGGAGGTCACTGATGGTTCTAGACATAAACAAAATGTCTTGGGTTCTTCATGAGGAGCTTCAGTTTTTATCCTACATACATTACTCAGAAATTTACTAGAAATCAGAAATATATTCAGCTCTACTCTGCATTAACAAGAAGTGGTTCTTTTCCATCTCAGTAGCGAGATGGGAAAGGTGTGAAATATTGTAGTATGTAGCATTTCCTCTGGAAACAAACCTCTCTTTGGATTTCCCCTTTTCCTGGTCTCCACCTCAGTGACTCCATTCCCTGTCATCTTCCCATTGTCTGTTTCTCAGAGGGCCTAAGCACAGAGCTCACCTCCATTCATTCCACTTCTTACCCCTACCAATTACCCCACTCGGGGAACAAAGGACCTTCCAAAGATTTTGCTCTCTTCTTAGCAGCAAGGAATCTTAATTACAAGTAGATCTTGAAGGTTTACAATATTTTTTTCCTCTTACATCCTCAGAAAACTTTAAGAAAGTAACCAACAGTTGTAAGCACAACTTACAATGCCATTATAGTGTTTTTCTTTGTTTTTCTTTTTCTTTTTTTTTTTTTTTAATGGTACCCTATAAAACTTTAAGAAAGTAATCAAAGAATGTGAAGCAATTTACAATGCCATTATAGTGTTTTTCTTTAGTTTTTCTTTCTTTTTTTTTTTTAATGAAATTCTATTTTCCATTTTCCCCACCAACCTTTTTTTTTTTTTTTTTTTTTTTTTTTTTTTTTTTTTTTTGAGATAGGTTCTGTCTTGTCGTCGCCCAGGTTGGAGTGCAGTAGCACGATGATGGCTCACTGTAAGCTCTGAACTCCTGGGCTCAAGCAACCCTCTCACCCCAGCCTCCTATGCAGCTGGGATTTCAGCTGTGCACCACTACACCCAGCTGATTTTTTAAAAAATTTTTTTAGAGAACGGGTCTCTCTATGTTGCTCAGGATTGTCCTGAACTCCTAGACTCAAGTGATCCTCACGTGTCAGCCTCCCAAAGTGTTGAGATTATAGGTGTGAGGCACTGCACCCAACCTTCTATTCCGTTTCTTTCCTCTTACATTTTTAGTTTAAGTTGGAGACTAAACCTCTGATGTCATACTTCTTTCTGAAACTCACCGTGTGATAAAGCTCTTTCAGGCCAGTGCCGTGCATCCCTGTTTTGGGGTCGAAGCTCACAGAGGTTACTGCAGTGCCTTATCTCCGAAGACAGGAGGGAACCGTGTCTACAACCTGAGCACAGAGATCAAGGGTTCTGAGTGACATCCCAGCCCAGTCTTTAAGAAACCCCACAGCTTTCCATATGGAGACAGGCAGGCAGCCAGTTCTGCAGAGACAAAGCAATGCCTCAGCCCAGGGAGGAGCTAAAGAAGCAGAGAATACCCGGAGTCAGCAGCCACTCATAATGTGTCCTAAAGCACTCATGGGGACAGCGCCACCCATATATTTGCAGTTTCCTTAAAATACTACAGGCAAATTGATGTGGTTTGAGCTACTGCCTGACTGAATTGTTACCTAGCACAGCCACTCAGTGGAGAGTAAACGTATCTTAATTGTGACATCAATAAACAACTACTGGGAGAACTTTGCCTTTTTGTAAGTAATTTGAAGCACCATTTAGAAAGAACAGACATAGCCAGGCATGATGGATCATACCTGTAATCCCAGCACTTCAGGAAGCCAGGAAAGGAGGATTAGTTGAGGCTGGGAGTTTGAGACCAGCCTGGGCAGCGTAGCAAGACCCCATCTCTGCAAAGATAAAAATAAAAATAAATTAGCTGGGTATGGTGGCATGTGCCAGAAGTCCTAACTCCTCAGGAGGCTGGGCAACAGGATCACTTGAGTTCAGGAGTTGGAGCCTACAGTGAACTCTGATGGCACCACTGTAGTCCAGTCTTGGTGATGGAGCAAGACCCTGTTTCAAAAAATGCAAAAAAAGAGAAAAAGAAAAGAAAGATCCCCACACACACACACACATACACACTCTCCTCCCCACATTTATCAAAAGGAGATGCTGAGGAGACCCACATCATAATTTTTTGTCTAAACATAGTAAAGGATTTGGGATTTGCACATGAAAGTAACTTTGCTAAGATAAAGCACAAAGTTACATGATATTCTTCTACATTTTTGACGTTTCATAAGGCATTGTGCTTGCATTTATCACCTCTTTTCTTCTTTGCAGAGGAGACTGCAAGTTACACAAATGGACATAATGAGAAACCAAACTGCCGAAAAGTCCCTATCCTTATAGAACTGAGTAAGTGGTGTTTCGAGGGCAAAATTCAATGGAGAAATTTTTGTGATATATAACTGATGTTCCAAGGATCTTTTTAGAATGCACAAAGGACTCAGGAACCAGAATGGGACTCAGAGCTTCAGGTGCTTGCCCGGATGTTACATTTGGGCTTTGATCCAACTGGGGACGTCAGTGTATCTGGTGTCAAGGTTCAGAAATGACATCTGCCTTTTCCACTCTTCTAGTTACCAGGAGAGGAAGGGGGACCAGCAACTGGCTTATTCTTATTCAGAGGGAGGGGCCACGGATTTGAAGACTGCTAGAAAGAATCTCCCTGTACTGACTAGTCAAACCCATCACAGGACTTTAGGTCAGATGCCTTCCTTTCCAGCAGTGACACCAGCACTGGGCCAGTGTAATGCAGGAGAGGCACATGGGGTACAGACTTAGAGAAGGTGCTCACCCTTGGTGTACCCAAATTTTGTGTCCCCTGTATTTCCCCCTGTCACCTTAATCCCAGCCCTGAGTGATACTTTCCTAAAATAGAAAAAAAAAAAAGAAAGAAAGAAAAAGAAAAGAAAAACTCTTGAAGAATTAACAGAATATGCTGTTATCTGTCACCAGCACCTGTACAAAACTTCCCTAGGCACAAGGAGCTCTGGGAACAGAAGACAAGGGAGGGAAGGCAGGGAAGGGTAACCAAGTGCATTTGGTAAGGTGCATTGCTGGGGCACCAGGGGACACACTGGGATTTACTACTGAGTATAGTTGAAGAGAAAAGGAGAAAATCCCAGGCAAGAGGAGAACGGTGCCATTAGTGCAGATTGAACCAATTCAGAGATGATCACTAAAAGCTGCTCCTAGCTGTGATTTGACCTATTTTACTAACCAGAAAAATGCATAATTGGCATTTTATGAGCAAGATTACCAAAACCAGTGGGATTTATCCCAAATTAGATGAACATCTAGAGCTCTTAGTCCTGCAAAGTGGGAGAACTTAGAGAGGAATCAGTAGGTGTCACTGCCATGTGAGCTGGGAGTGAGTGTAGAAGGTGAGACGTGAGTCACTGCTTCATTGCTACCTAGCATTCCTGGCCGTTTTATGGAGCAGAGGCTGTTGCAGCTCAGCTCTGAAGATCCTAGATCCCTGAATCCTAGTACCTGCCTGCCTATTTGGAACCACCTTGAAGCTGTCTGCTGCAGTTTTTAATTATATTTTACTTTTTTCCTCCCCTTTGAACCATCTCTAACTGTTGAGCTGTATACAGTTGGTTCTCTGTATCTGTGAGGCATTGGTTCCATAACTCACTCTCCACTCCTCCCCTTGCCCTACTTCCTGCAGACACCAAAATCCATGATGCTCAAATCCTTTATATAAAATGGTATAGTACCGTCAACCCTCTGTATCCATGGGTTTCCATCTGCAGTTAATTGAATCCTTGAATGCAAAACCTGTGGAAATGGAGGACCAAATGTATACATCAAATGCATTAATTCAAAGAAGAGTGTAAGTTAGAGTTGTTGGGAAGAAATCAGCCAGTTTCTCACTGACCCAGAGGTGCATCTGGTCACTCTCTGGGGACTTACAGCCTTTGTTTCTGGCACCAAGTAGCCCTTATCAAGTTAACCTAACAACCCACCTGCCAGCTTGTCCAGGTTCTTGTTGTCTAGCTGACTGGAAATGGTCACATTGACATGGGAGCTGCAGGTCTGATGTTCTGTACCACTTTGTTACAGAACGGATGGGAATCTGAAGGAAATGGCCAGGAAAGCTGAGGCCGCTAGTTTAGGATGATACAGCAGGATTTGGACAAAGGCTCATGGGATATTTGTGTGTGTGTGTGTGTGTGTGTGTGTGCGCGCACCTGTGAGTGTGCGTGTGTGTTTGTGTGTGGAGTGTTCACAATGCAAGAAGAGGAACTTACAAGTGCACAGGAGATGTGGGTTGATATTAGTCATACTTTGCTCATCTTTTATAAAAATAATGCTGTTCTCAGAAGAAAATGATTCATTAATATTACTTCATTCATTAATGTCACTTCCCCCAAACATACTGAGGAATAATTTAAGGCATTAGGGGATAATCCAGACATAGTAAGCAATGGATTCCGAGTTGTGTGTCCAGCATATTTGTTTGGATTGGTCATTTCAAGAAGCGTAATGTCAAGAACTGTGGAGAACCTAAGGCTATCCTATTTGCAAACCAACAGGTGCACCTACCCCAGTCTCATGGATGCTGGCAGAAGATATAAGACTCCTGGATCAGAGAACAAAACAAAACCAATCAGTTTATTACTCAGAGTAATAACAGCAGCCAGAGTATCCTCATTTTTGTGTTGGTTGCCCAAGCCCTGCTTTCCACCGGGTGACATGAAGAGTAACACCTGTACCCACAGTGTATTGCTCTTTAGGATAGGAACCTGAGCTCAGGAAGCCAGAGTCTTTTATAACAGGCAGTAAGCATGCCTTCCCTTTGCTCCTGTGGGAGACATCATCTCTATCTTCCAATGCTGTTCTTGAGACAAACATTCTTGAAGCAAGAGTCTAAAACAAACTTTGGGAGGCTGAGGTGGGTGGATCATTTGAAGTCAAGAGTTTGAGACCAGCCTGGCTAACATGGTGAAACCCTGTCTCTACTAAAAATACAAAAATTAGCTGGACATTGTGGTACATGCCTGTAATTCCAGCTACTTGGGAGGCTGAGGCATGATAATTGCTTGAATCTGGGAGGCAGAGGTTGCAGTGATTGTGCCATTGGGCAGCCTGGGTGATGAAATGAGACTTACTAAAAAAAAATTATTTTAAAAAGAGTCTAGGAACAAAGGCAGCCTGTGCCTCTCCTCTCAAGGACCACAATGATGCCTGTATTCACCTCAGAGGCTGCCTACAGGGGTCTGAGTTGGAGCCTGGGGCCAGTACAGACATGCTGATAGATAACTTGGCTACTGCTATACTGGCCTCAGTTAGGATGATTCCCTAAGCCCTTGCCACACAGAGTGCCATCCATGAATCGGCAACCTCAGCAGCATCTGGGAGCTGGCTGGGCATGTAGACTTTCAGCCCTCACCCTAGATCCAGTGAATCAGAATCTGTATTGCAACCAGATCTCCAAGTGATTCATATGTGCATTAAATTTTGAGAGGCACTGGGCTTAAGTGACGGGTGACCATGTGTTCCTATTCATTCCTATGATACCAGGGCAGTTTTTGAGCATGCTCCCTTTTGCTCCCCCAAAATATCCTGGTTTGAAAGATGAATTATACGAGGATGACAATCAGAACACTTCTTGAGAAACTGAGCCTGTGCTCCAGCAATGTCCCCTTGATGGTGAATGTACCCAACAGAACTATGTCTTTTGTGGGAAGGAAGATATTTGGAAAGGAAAGAAAAAAAAATGTACTGAAATAGGGGTAGATCTGACAGAGACCCCAAAGAAGACATCAGATCTTTTGATCAAGTGGTCGCCCCTTGGCCTGCATGGATGGCAGTTCTTATATTCTTAACTTGATCTGATTGTCTTTCCTTTTTGCCTCTTGCCTTGCAGAAAATCCTTCCAACATTCACTTTATTGAACAGCTTGGTGGACTGGAAGGGTCCCTCCAAGAAACAAATCTGCATCTCAGCACTGCCTTTTCTACAGGCACTGTTTTTTCTGGCAGCTTCTTGGATTCTCTCCTGGCCACGGTAAGAAAAGTTAAGCCACGGAGCCCACAAAACCAAGCCCTCTGCAGAGAAGTGAGCAGGTGGCATAGAGCTGAGTAGATGATAACACCTCTCAGTTCTAAGTTCTCTTTGATTTTCAAAAACAAGCTTGTTCCCACACATTAATTTATCTTTTCTGATAACTACTTGGTGTGGGAAGCAACATTTTCACATTTTCAAGATTCAAAACATGAGGCTCTTGGAGCCAGAACCCCTGATGCCAGGAAAAGTGAGTGCCGGCCTCTCAGCTTCGAAGGCATCACTGCAGACCAGGCCCCTTGGGATCAGAGCTCAGGAGATACTACTTTCCCTTCTCTCTAAAATCCTCCCAACAGCTCATGTGGAAATTGGCCATAAAGGGATCCAGAGTTTCAAGGAAGAAGCTCTGGCCTTTGCTGGTGAGTTTTGTTCAAAGCTAAGTCAAATCTCCCTCCATGTTCCTCCTCTCATGGGGAGCATTGTTGACTACATGGTTGTTCTTTAGTTTTCAGCACCTCTTTAGCCACCTGGCAAATTTTTTCCCCCTGGATGGAATTAATTCATCCTACAAATGCCCACTGAACACCTACTCTGTGCAGGGCACTGTTGGGGGGTGGTGCTGGGGAATCTGCAGCTTGAGAATGACAAAAGCCTCACCCACATGGGGCCTGCTGAGTGGAGGGTATTGACATATGCATCATAAATAAGTAACACAGAGGGATGCCAGTTACACGGGCTAAGATGTGAGATAGGAAATGTGGAATTTGGGGAAGGAATTGCAAGATTCAATAACATGCTGAGAAGGTGGCAGGTGAGCCCAGCTCTGGGGGAGAGAAGAGAACACAGGATTCAGAAGCAGTGAGGTGGGAGCTGTTAAAAATAGATAATCAGTGCCATGAAGAAAAGTCAACATGGAGACGAAAGATCTCTCAGCAAGGCAATCTTTACTGTCTGCAAAAAGGGTGCTCAATGGCAGATGGAACAATGGTGAGAGCACACTTGAACAAAGGAAAAGCAGACATATTTATCCCTTACGCATTTGGGTCATCCTTACTGCTGTGTCCTGCATTCATTGGCCGGAACTATCATCACAGTCTTAAACTGATACCCAATTTGCTAATAACCTAAAACTTTCCTAAATAGGTAAGTGCAAGGAAAAACAAAGAAGAAGAGGAAGTTGCTTACGACAGGTTTAAGGAAGCAATAGCATTTCCACATAAGGAAGGTACAGAAACTATGAGCTAAGACTTGCCTGGGTCTGTCCAGGCATGCCTGAGTAAGCCAAAACAACTAACTGGAGGAAAATGTAAGAACTAATAGTTGATAGGAGGATTTAGAGTAAGGAGCTATTATTCCTAGTGTCTATTATTTTATTTTTAAACCAAGATGAGCTTTGAAGAGGAACTTTTCTACTTTCTACAGAGTACACCCCAGGGTGTTAAAGGAGTTTCAAATTGACTGAGACTCATGAGATCGGTGTGTAGCCATTGGTGAATGACTTGCAAGAACTCTTCCAAAGGAAAGCCACACAACCCACTGCTTCCCACACTCCGCCTACTCGGGATTTTCAAGGGAAGAGCTGCAGAATGGCTGGATGTCAATATGCAGATGCTTATATGCAGAAGAATCTGAGCACAGTTGATGAACTTGCTGTCTTCTGGAGGTCCACATGAAGAGGCATCAAGCCTGAATTTCAGGAATGCCTCAAGGCATAGTTTGCAAGTTTAAGGGAGCATGGCTGGGCATATCCATCCCCTTCCTAACATCAGTGCCATTTGGCATGAGATTGTGTTGCCCTGGACTCTGCCTGTCTAAGCCATGGTAGGGGTCTCATACACCCCATCAAGCTCTTAGAGAGAGAATACCACTTAAATGATAGTTTAACATTAAATAAATTAGTAGAGTGCAAGACTCCTAAAGAGTTAAGCAGCTCAGCCTTCACTGAGCCAGGGAGGTACTGGAGGAAGTCAAGTCAGGTTACTTTTCTGAGAAGGTGGCTCTGTCAGAGAAAGTGTTAATCACTGTCTGTCACTGATACGTCAATTAACTCGCCTGGAATTAATGACTGGAGTGTCAGGCAGGAGGTGACTTTCGATGAACTTGACCTGTCTGCTGATACATTTCAGATGGGTTTCAGGTCCTAGTTCTCTTCAGAGATCCTCAGATGTCAGGCAGCTTCATGCCTTAAATTAAAATTGAGACTTAATTAAACACCACCAGCTCACGCAGGGAGGAACAGAGCCACAGATTCTATTTAGAATTGGTCGGAAGGGCAAGATGGACAGGGAAGGGCTGGAAGAGTAGGGACAACAACAAATGAACACACAAGCACAAGCCAGTATGAGGAATACAGATTTGGTCACGAGCCTAATTCCTCCCACCACTCAGTTCCTGATCATGACATTGGCCTTGGGTGGTCTAAAGAGTGCAGCTTCTTCCCAGGCTGCCTTCAGATATTGGGTCAATGGGCTTCACTTGGTGGAAGAGGAAGATTCTTGCTGGAAAACAAAATGTGCCACATAGAGAATAAAGGCCACACAGTGTGACCTGAAACTGCGGTCATCACATGAGGTCACAACACACAGTGGATCAACAGCTTTGCCTTCAGAACTCTTGGTAAGTACTTATTTTAGGACTGGCATTTGTTCAACTGAATTTGGGCAGGGGTGGCAATGGAGCATCAGGGAAGAAGGCATCTTCTATGTCAAGGGTGCCAACTGAATCTTGAACCTCTAAATCTCTACCTAGCAGTTTTCTGCCCCAGCTCTTGAATCTTTAATAATGTACGCCACAGCAAAATGAACACACTGTAACATTATTTAATGATGAGTTGAACTAGGCCATTGAAAATAATTGTGAATGCTGATTATTTTTGTTTTCCTTCTCTTGTTTCCCTTCTCTCTGCACCTGATTCTACTGGTTCTATGTGCCCTTATCAGTGTGGGGGTGGCTTTCCATCACCAAAGAAAGACCCAAGGATCAAGACTGAGCCTCCAATCTCATTGTCTCCTTTATTCTGGGGACCATTTGATCTTGGGTGGACTCTGGATCTTACCACCTGGTCACATGGAAATACCCTCGGAGAGGAAGAGAACATTTATCACCTTCCAGTAACAACATCTGGAGTCACTATAGTGGCTCCTGAATACATTCTCAAATACTTCACTTATTCTCTGTATGTGCTGGAGCATCTCCTGGTGAAGGGTTGGTAGGAAGGCAATGACCTCGATCTCCCCATTAACTTAGAAAGGCAGTTGTGGGTCCTGGAGCTATGACCTCCACAGACCCCCAAGGCAGACATTGCTGATGACCACAGTTCTCCTCCCCCAGATCATACCTTTATCTATATAGGTCTCTAGGCAATTTATTTTGATGAGTTTTCTTGTTGAGATAATATCAAGAATAATAGCTATTGATCTTAAGAAGAGTAACATCTTTCAAGCACTTACCCAGAGCCAAGGAGTTCACTAAATGCATTACCTACATTATCTGGTTTAATTCTCCTGTCAAATATGGAAGCTTAGCTGAGTAAATAATCTGCCAAAGGCTGCATCATTTACAAGTAACGAGTTGGTTTTCAGATCCAAGTGTATGTGATCCCAGAGTCATTCCTTGTTGCCACAATCAACTGCCCCTCCAGAGATCTATTTCTGTAATGATCAGTGTCCTTGCAACACAGGGATTTTCAAGTTTAGGTTAGAGGGTTCCTTCCCTGACAATGCTCTGTGCAGAGAGAAGGAGATGTGCCCACCCTGCCTTGCCCACCCATACCTCTCCCCTCCATCAGAGCAACTCCACTTTCATCTGTGGTATATTAGAGGTGCCTGCATAAGATTCAATTGCACAAGAGACGTTTGTTATTAAGAAGATTTTGGAACTCATTCCCTTGAAGTTAGGATGAAGGACCAACAGAGAGGCATAACATAAACAGAATCCTATTCTCCTCTATTCTGAGACAGTTTTCCAATTTCCAGCCAGAAGTCTGGTGTGGGAGGCAGGAGTCAATCATTTTGCCCCATTTTGCATGTCCCTTTTATCCATAATATCCCTCCACAAAGACTGTATTCTGGGTTTGACACTTCCAACCTGCAGCCCAGCTTAATGCACCAAGAGATCTGTGTCCCATTGCAACATACAGGTTACAGAGGTTACAGTTAGACTCTCAACGTTGGTTTCCCTGATACCTATACTACACAGAAGGTCAAGGCTAAGAGCAGATGCATTCAGGACAGGCTCCCTGAATGTATCTGCTAATGCTTTAGCAGTTTATGAAACAAGATGAGAACACCAGCCATTACTTCAATCCCAGTGAACTGTATTTTCAACCGGATATTAAGGGCCCTCTTCCTTCCCATGTGTACTCAGACACCTCCATAGTGCTGTTCCACCTTTCTCTCTCCACTGCCCGTAATAAACACCAAGAATAAATGTGCGAGTCCCAAGAAGGCCACAAAGCCCACAGTCATGTGCTGTGAACTTGTCACTGCTTAGAAATACTAAGGTTTTGTTTAAATTTTCATGCAATTTAAAAAATTCTATCCCTTGATAGACCTGTGGTAGTTTTTTCAATGTAAAATGATGGGTTTTTCTCTGCAACCTTCTGATACAGTTGACATTAGAATGGCTTCAAGTACCCCTGGTATACTACCCTAAACTCCTGACTAGCTGAAGAAATATGCCTATAGGATGTAATTCAGATTTGCTTTTAATCCTCTGTCAGTTCAATGCTATAAAAATTCAAATATGGTGAAGCAGCCAGGCCCATATGCAGGACTCCTATCTGGTTCTACAATCAAAGACTTTCAAAACTAGATGTGAACTTGGGGAGCACTTTCCTTTACTTGTAAGGAAATTGAAGCCCACACAAATTATTTGACATTCTTAAGGTCACTTGGCTTGTTGCAATTTTCCTACCCTATAATCTCACTCTTATATTAGAAGTTATTTCCTGAAGAATGTTTGATCTTAAGGTCTTTGAGAATTCTCAGAATGAAAAGCAGCATTTGGCTAGGATGTTAGCATCTACACCATTAGGTAATATTCTAGGTTATGACAGGGACCATAGCATTCATAGTAGCTAAAAGTTACAACATTATGGGCATCAACATTTTCTAACATTGAAAGTCCAGGTTCCAGTAAACAAGACGATATTAGAAACATTGGCCAAATTTGAAAGTCTGAGATATTTCAAGTGCCCTTGAACTTGCGGATTTTCTTGTGAAAGACAAGAGGGATGGAGAGAGAACAAGAGGGGGAGTGAGAACTAGAGGGAGGGAGGGAGGGAAGGAGGGAAGGAGAAAGGGAGGAAGGCAGGGAAGGAGGAAAGGAGAGAGGAAAGAAGGAAGGAAGGGAGGGAGGGAGGCAGGGAGGAAGGAAGGGAGAGAGGGAGGGAGGAGAAGGGAAGGGAAGATAGAAAGAAAGAGATATTGAGAAAGGTCTGTGCCAGAAACCCCAAATAATAAGAATAGGAGATGAGCTCACAGAATATGGGTGACATGTAAATCCCATTATTTTTCTCAGTATAGAATTATAATCCTTTTGGTGTCAGAACTGAAGAAATGATATATTCAAAAGCTAAGCCTCTCTCAGTTAAATATGTAAAGCACATGTTTCCCTAGAGTTATTGACACCAAGATAACCCTAGAATTTACACCTTTTCTTTAATCAGTGGAGAATTATTCTAACACATTATGTTTGATCACTCTACACTATGGCCACATGTTCTTAAACGGATTGTGGTTCAACCTGAATTCATGTCCTCCACTACCCCCCCGCCCCCCGGATGTAGCAAAGAAGAAACATAAGGAAGAAGACATCACTCAGGGAATTCCTTTAGTCTGGGGACTAGGGTGAAGTCATCTTTTAACCTAAAAAATACTGTAGAAGTTATTTTTATTATCTTCTAATTCATATAGATTATATTATTCCTTAAGTCAACTTGTCCCAATCACGTCTACATTTTACCAGCAATATTTATTTGTTAAAAATTACCTATCCATTGAAGTCAATATTCTTATAGCTTTCAAACACATGCCTTGTTCAGTGCACTACTGAGGATATGAGTGTTATATAGACATAGCCTATCTTCTGAAGGAGCACATCGTCTTCAGGAATTATTGCTCAGTCTGATCTGAGGACAACCAGTGTCAGAACCACTCAGGGTGCTCTTTAAATTCTGATTCCCACTCCTGTCCATATATTCTGATCCAGGAGATCTGGGATCCCAGAAATCTACACTCACTAATATCACTTCAGATGATCCAGATACACAAGAAGCAATGATAAAGAAAACAGAATTTAGCAATGTGTGCATTATATTTTACTTAATCCTGCAAGCAATGCTAGAAGGTAAGTATTGCCATGTCAGCTTTAGAGATTATAAAACTGTTGCTGACAAAACAATCAGCCAGACACAGTAGCTCATGCTTGCAATCCCAGCACTTTGGGAGGCCAAGGCAGGTGGATCACTTGAAGTCAGGAGTTTGAGACCAGCATGGCCAACATGGCAAAATCATGTTTCTACTAAAAATACAAAAAAAAAAAAAAAAAAAAAAAAAAAAATTAGCCAGGTATAGTGGTGCATGCCTGTAATCCCAGCTACTTGGGAGGCTGAGGCAGGAGAATTGCTCGAACCCAGGTGGCAGAGGTTGCAGTGAGCCAAGATCGTGCCACTGCACTCTAGCCTAGACAACAAACAGAGTGAGACCTTGTCTCAAACAAACAAACAAAAAACAAAAACAAACAAACAAAACACATGAATTGCCCAAAGGCACCCAGCTGGAATACGGCAGTCCAAGATTCAAATTCAAGTGTGTTTCTAACTGTAAAAAACTGTAAAATATAGAAGAATGAAATTAAGTAAAACCCAGTGCCCAGGGAATCCCAAAGAAAGAGAAATTTCATTCTGCTTAGAAGACCCAGAAAAGAGTCATGAAGCTGATGAACCAGAGGTTCAAAAGCAAAGGCATGAAGTGGTAAAAGAACGGCTTAAGTACCTGTAGATAGACTAGCGTGCCCCAGAGGGAACATGTCATGGAGGAAACAAGCCTGGGAAGAAGGACTACATCAGATCCCAAAGGTTTTGAAGGCCACGGTGGAGACAGAGGGCCTGGTGGCCTGGTTTTATGTGAGGATACTAAAAGGTTGAGGAGGTGGAGGTCATAATCTGATTTGTGTTTCTGGGAATTGCTGTGGAAGCATTGTAAACAGTGGGATGCAGATGAGAAGAAAATCAAGGCAGAACAAGAAGTAAAGAGGTTCCTATGATAATCCAGGTTTCAGAAGATGGATCCCTGATTTTGAAAGTAGAGAAAATAAATGGTAAATGAATAATAATTGAAGTTATTCCTGATGTTTATTTTAAAAACAAAATGATTGCATTTAGATAATATATATAAATAGAAATTCTCATTTTTAATAAAGCAAAAGTCTAATTTAGATAAAATGAAGAATGAAAAATAAAGCCTAGTGGGTAATATATTCCAATGACTTTTCCATGTATGCTAATGCCTGATCCATACTGAATGTGGTAGCAATCCTGGAGAAAGAGACTTTATTAAAATGGCTGGGATTATTCAGACTCAAGCTCATTTCAAAATAAGAAGTTTGCCACGTCTTCCTCTGGTTTCATTTGGATGCCAAAGATTCTGAAATCCTATCCATTTAATTATTAAACACCTATAATTTCTAAAGTATAATGAGAGCTATGGGAAATCCAAATACTAATAAGACCTATGTTGATATGTGTCCTTAAGTAGGTCACAAACAAAAGGATTAAAAGTAGATTTACATCCAGAAGGCTCAAGTATAGATGACAATAATATCATTAGTTCCCCACTGGAAAATCTACAGATTGTCTCAGTAAATATATGTATTTTTAAATATACATTGATGATGATTAGGGTATCTGTGGCCTGACATATATACCTCCTCTGGTCATTCTGGGAAGAGGGGAAACCCTGGTGTCAGTATCATTATCCAATTTCTTCTTCATCTGCTGTGTAATCTCCAAGGAACAGGAACTGGGTCAGTATTGTTTTCTCTGCACTTGGCCTAACCTAGCACAGTTAGGTTAAACTGCCATCCTTCAGCTGCATTAGATAACGATAATGAGAAACACTGTTCCACACCATCAGGTCCATGTTAAACAGCAATGCCCGCTAAATCTCCAAGCCTATACCCCTCCGCAGTTCACATATTGGCTCTTCTGACTTTGTATGTGGCTTGTCCTTGTTTTCCAGGCCTTCTACAATTATCGTGTCCTGGAATTGCTTCAGATGCTGGTGACAGGAGGAGTAAGTTCTCAGCTGGAACAACATTTAGATAAGGATAAAGTCTATGGTGTGGCAGATAGCTGCACGACGCTCCTGTCTGGAAGAAACCGGTGTAAAATGGGGCTTCTGTCCTTACACCAAACCATTTTATCAGACGTTAACGTGAGTCTACTCTTCTCAGAATTCAGTTTTTCACTTCCTTTCCTCTCTGAGCTTCTGAAAATGGTCCAGGCTATTTGGGTTCATAGATGTCCCACAGCACAGAAATAATAACAATAAAAATAACAAAAAAAGAATACAAGTTTATATTATTCATAGAGTATTTTACAAATCACAGTGTGTTCATATGTTGTATTTATTTTTTATAATAATTATGAGAAGTAGATAACGCAGTTGTTATTATCCCCATCTTCTAGATAAATAACCCGAATCTACAGGGAGCATCAGAGAGACCTGGCAACTTTGTACCTTGACAAGGGTATTCATAATAATTATAACAGCTAATGTTTATTGAGTATTTTCTCTGTGCTTGTCTTTTTTAGTATTTTTTCCACTTAATCTGTCCATGGATTTATATGGTAGGCATTATTATTAATTCTGTTTAACAGATCAAAAAACTGGAGCTCAGAGAAGCAAGGACTTGCCAGAGACCACATTATCAATCAGTGTCAGAGCAGGGACCCAGCTATAGCAGTTTGACCCTGGGCCTGCCTACTCTCCCCATACTTAAAATGCTAAAGAAATCTGATAAGGTCAGCTGAAATCAGGCAGAAGACTTTTGTACATGGGTCTAAGAATCTGGCTGCACTATCCAGTGGAAAATGCTTGCATTTTCTTAGCCAAGGGAGCTGGTAAACAGTAGATTACAGCAAGGGAGAAGATAATAATTCTGGAAAATTCCAACAGGGCGTCCAGGCATTTGGGAATCACAGTAGGGTCTAGCCAAGAAATGAGAAATCTACGTGGTACCTTCTGGTTTGGTTTTCATTGGCATTGCATTCAGTTGTCCAGTGTTAACTGCTAGGGGCAGGCTTTTCCAAGGAAACATCTTTTGTTGATTCAGAGGACATTAGCAAAACCCCTGGGTAGAACACTATACCTGGTGCATGTCGATGTGTGCTGCCAAAAGGGGCAAGACCCATGTTCTGTGCATTAGCATTTCAGGTGTGAACCACATTCCAGAAGTTCCTTCGATGTAGTCTGGTCCTTTACATTTCCGTAGTCCTGGGTTGCTCACCTACAGGTAGACTTGTAAGTGTATATAAGCCCAGGAAACTATTGCTAGCAACTTCCTGTTGGCATCAAAGAGGATGGTAGACTTGTCCCCACTCCTCTCCCTCCTCTCTCCATTTATGCCATGTCCTCCCTTTGTTCTTTATCCTGAAGAATTACAGAACTGGATGGATTGATCTCTTTTGACCTTGCTGAGCCCATTTACTGCTGCAGGGGCTTGAAATTGTTGTCTATTCATAATGATCTTGTTGGGTATAGCCTGAGAATAAGGTCCAGATGAGTGTTTGGGACTGTGATCTGTTTTACAGTAGGATAAGATGACTCTCAAGAGGTCATTTAACATCTCAACTCATTATATATCTCAAAAGCTCCATTTTCCAATCCGTGGCTCATTGTTAATTCATAGTGGTTACCAGAATGGCAATGGTAATAAGGACAAGCACAACAGTATGTCACACCACACCCACCAGAAGCTCTTGAAAGAGCCAGAATGACAAAAACAATTGCTGGGATTAGAGTTTCAGAACTGATCATTCTCTTAATTACCTATCCACCTGGCAGTGCTGCCACAAAGATATTAGGAAATGACTTTCCAAGCTTCTACTACCAGGTAAAGCAAACGACACTCCAGTGAGGGCTTATAATTGCTTGATCAAAGTGCCCAGCAGACATATTTTTGTCTCTTCTCTCCCCAGCCAAGAAACACCTTTGGACAACTGTTCTGTGGCTCATTAGATCTGTTTGGAATCCTGTGTGTTGGCTTATACCGAATAATTGATGAAGAGGAGCTCAACCCAGAAAACAAAAGGGAAGTGTGCTAGATTAGAAAGCACCATCCACCCATTCAAGCATAAGAACCAAAACTACTTTATTCAATGTGAAAGAGAATTCCAGAGCTCAGGGTCCATAGTTGCAAGGAAGGGTGCATGGGAAATAAAGAACTATGTAAGAATAAGAAGGAATGGGTATAAACAAGAGGGACCTGAATAATTAGGGTCCAATTAATATTGGCCATGTAAGAAGAACGGAGTCTCTGTCCCCTAGTGAAAATTGAAATGTGGAGCTAGATTTTAAATCAGCTCATTTCAATTTTGTAACTTACTCCTCATCCATGTCTGTACAACTTTCTAAAGCTGAACGCCACTATCCACATTTGAAAGATGTACTTGTTTTCTGCTGGACTCATTGGGTAAATATTGATTGAGATCTACTTTGCTAGCCATGGTGCTTTTTACATATAAATCATGGGGGTGATATGTTCGACTTTCAATTTAAAGAAAGATCACTCTGACAGCCCTGAGTAAGACAGAAATGTATGTGGAGGGGAAAGGGAAAGGAGAGGTTACAGTCTAGAGACAACACAATCGTGTATGCCCAGACTAAGATCTTCACAGTGGGAATGGACAGGATTCAGTAGGGAAGTAGAAACTGAAAGGAATAGGGTGGAAATAGATCAATGGAACCTGTTCCAGGAGAAAGGAGAAGGAAGCCAAATTACTCAAAGTAGAGCGGTCTTGAATAGAAAATAACAGCAATGATATTTTTGGCCCACAGAAGAAAAGGAGGAAAAGAAGAGATGCCAAGGCAGATCTAGCTCTAGGTGAGGGCTGTGTTTATGGGAATTTTTATTTTGCACTAGGATTTCTCAGTGCACAGTCATTGCTGAGAGAAAGATGGAAGAAATATTATCAGGAGTTGAGAAAGGAGTCAATGTTTAGATTAACTGCTGGGAGGAGTGGAAGAGGAAGCTTATTGTGGATTTGTGAAGAAATCCTAGACCATACAGTAAAAGAAGAAAGATTGGAAATCTCAATGCATTGAATAGTGGATGTACTCAGAGTTAAGGGAGTGAGAGAGAAAGTATGATGAGAAGTTGTGGTCAGCAGTGATTTATTGAAATGTAACATTTTAGAAGTGGAACGATGTTAGGAATTAAAACAGCTAGGACATGGCCAGGAAAGTGGTTTGGAGGTAAAGATCACTGGGTACTGGAAGTCATAGCAATGTGTCTGAATGCTGGAGTTGTAAACCACATAGACACTGCAGGCATGTAAAAAGATAGCTGCACTAAAATTTGAAAGGAAGAGCATGTCAAGTGCCAAATGACAAAATAAGCGTGGAAGTCTACAGATGACTCTGATGGATGGGGAAGGAAGGTGCCATGGCTTTATAGCACCCACCACCAAGACAATGGGGGAGGACTGATGTTCTGGAAATAGCTCTCTTTCTCCCTCTCTGCCTGAACTCCACTCCTCCCCCAAACACCTCTGTATAGCCCTTGCAACATGATAACTGGGAAAATATACAGCTTATATTAATACTTGACCTCAGGGGGAAAATTGATATTTTTGTTTTAAACAGAATATGTCATCTTGTTCAGCATATTTTTTTTAAGAATAGAATTGAGGTTACAGAGGACTCAGTGGGAAAAAGATAAAAGTGATTTTATAAAAGGTCATTCAGTGAAGGAAGTTCAGTGGTACCTTGAGATCTATGCTAGGAAAGAGGTGATCATTTGAGGCACTAGTGAGGCAATGCGGGATGAAAGTCATACAAGACTACCCTGCCTCAATGTTCCCACATAAGCGCTGTTGCACTCATTACTTCAGCTCACATTTTTGGGCATTTGCTGTGTACCTGATGCTGTGTTAAGGCTTCTGGGTATTCTTTAGGGTTCATTGACATTCGCTATTTGCTTGCCAGTCAGGTTTCAAATGAAACTGTTTTTTTCTAATGCTTTTCTCCATTGGCCAGGCTACATTCTGTGTGAAAGTTGGTGGCATAAGCATTAGGTTAGAGTAGGTCTAAGTCAGGATGAAAATACCTGAAATATATGTCATCTTTCTGTTGACAAAGCTTGGCTATGAGGTCAGTATTGTGCCAGCTGAATTCATGAGCATAGTGTCTTTTAAAAGAAAATAGACCTGTTTTTAAGGCCATTAGACATCAATCAGTCCAAACCACAGTCTTCCCCCTCTTCCCACTGGAACAAAAGATGAGTGCAGCAAGGCCCAGAGAAGGAGGACACCATGCCCAGAGTCAGAAGTGGTTGGGTTCAGAGGCAGGGATGAAAGCCAGCCCCCTCATTCCTACTCTAGAACCTCTCCTCTTGCACTGTGCTACAGGAGTAAGTACTAAATAGATATTTACTATTAATCAGAAACCCATGAAGCAAAGCAAAACAAAAACGTTTCCTCTTTGTGCCCAGCAAAATGACCTCTTTATTTAGATCACTGCCTGTCACCACACTGGCCAGATGCAGAGGCTCAGCATTTATCTTTGACTTGTCTTACAGGTTTGTGATCACCCGGCCAGCCAATGAGTTCAAGCTGCTGCCCTCAGATCTTGTGTTTTGTGCCATACCCTTCAGCACTGCTTGTTATAAAAGGAATGAAGAGTTCTCATCGCAAAAGTCATATGAAATTATAAGTGAAGCATCACAGACAACAGAGACACATTCAGACACAAATTTTCCTCCCACCATTTATTCAGTTGATGAGACATTGTATTCACCAGTCTATCCTTACCAGTCAAGAACTAACTCTGTCTCTTCTGCTAAGCAAACAGCATGGAATCAGATTAGAACAAACAGTTCTATAACATCCCAGAAACCTTTAGGTGACAATGCAAAAGAAAATGGAAAGAAAATCTCAGATGAGATTTCTGATGAGGACCCCTTTGCATATTCAGAGCCACTATAGACCTGCCCATATTCTTCACGTGCTCTTAACTTGCTGCTTACAAATCATCTCCCGAGATACTAATTTTGAACAAAGAAAATAAAAATGGAAGCATGTCATTTTTCTGCCCATTGCTTAGTGGTTCATGAAGGCCACACTGTTTCAGATGAGACAAAAGTCTAATCCCACTGGATCTTGTGTGATAAATAAAGAAATATATGATCAATGCTTCTGTAAGGAAAGTTCATTGCTCCATTTCCCTTGAGTAGAAAATATGCTAATTTGCACTGCATTAAGGAAGTCCTCCAGTACTTGCTGGATTCCCCAGATGAGGAAATACAGGTAGTCAAGATAAAAATGAGAATTACTCAGACGTAGGAAAGAAGTAAAGAGACCCCCTTCAATCAAGAATCGTACATTTTATTTTATCCCAGAACAGGCAAAGAGTAAACTAGTGTATATTTCCTTCTTTCTCTCCCCATCGTATTTTTTGTTATTCCATTGTATTTTTTAAGATATTTAAAATATTTGTTTTTTATTTTATTTTATTTTATTATTATTATACTTTAAGTTCTAGGGTACATGTGGATAACATGCAGGTTTGTTACATATGTATACCTGTGCCATGTTGGCGTGCTGCACCGATCAACTCGTCAGCACCCATCAACTTGTCATTTACATCAGATATAACTCCCAATGCAATGCCTCCCCGCTTCCCGATCCCCGCTCCTTGTGATAGGCCCCAGTGTGTGATGTTCCCCTTCCCAAGTCCAAGTGATCTCATTGTTCAGTTCCCACCTATGAGTGAGAACATGCGGTGTTTGGTTCTCTGTTCTTGTGATAGTTTGCTGAGAATGATGGTTTCCAGCTGCATCCATGTCCCTACAAAGGACACAAACTCATCCTTTTTTATGGCTGCATAGTGTTCCGTGGTGTATATGTGCCACATTTTCTTAATCTAGTCTGTGACTGATGGACATTTGGGTTGATTCCAAGTCACTACTATTGTGAATAGTGCCGCAATAAACATACATGTGCATGTGTCTTTATAGCAGCATGATTTATAATCCTTTGGGTATATACCCAGTAATGGGATGGCTGGGTCATATGGTACTTCTAGTTCTAGATCCTTGAGGAATCGCCATACTGTTTTCTATAATGGTTGAACTGGTTTACAATCCCACCAACAGTGTAAAAGTGTTCCTATTTCTCCACATCCTCTCCAGCACCTGTTGTTTCCTGACTTTTTAATGATTGCCATTCTAACTGGTGTGAGATGGTATCTCATTGTGGTTTTGATTTGCATTCCTCTGATGGCCAGTGATGATGAGCATTTTTTCATGTGTCTGTTGGCTGTATGAATGTCTTCTTTTGAGAAATGTCTGTTCATATCCTTTGCCCACTTTTTGATGGGGTTGTTTGTTTTTTTCTTGAAAATTTGTTTGAGTTCTTTGTAGGTTCTGGATATTAGCCCTTTGTCAGATGAGTAGATTGCAAAAATTTTCTCCCATTCTGTAGGTTGCCTGTTCACTCTGATAGTAGTTTCTTTTGCCGTGCAGAAGCTCTTTAGTTTAATTAGATCCCATTTGTCAATTTTGGCTTTTGTTGCCGTTGCTTTTGGTGTTTTCGACATGAAGTCCTTGCCCATGCCTATGTCCTAAATGGTATTACCTAGGTTTTCTTCTAGGGTTTTTATGGTATTAGGTCTAACATTTAAGTCTCTAATCCATCTTGAATTAATTTTCATATAAGGAGTAAGGAAAGGATCCAGTTTCAGCTTTCTACTTATGGCTAGCCAATTTTCCCAGCACCATTTATTAAATAGGGAATCCTTTCCCCATTTCTTGTTTTTCTGAGGTTTGTCAAAGATCAGATGGCTGTAGATGTGTGGTATTATTTCTGAGGACTCTGTTCTGTTCCATTGGTCTATATCTCTGTTTTGGTACCAGTACCATGCTGTTTTGATTACTGTAGCCTTGTAGTATAGTTTGAAGTCAGGTAGCGTGATGCCTCCAGCTTTGTTCTTTTAACTTAGGATTGTCTTGGCAATGCGGGCTCTTTTTTGGTTCCATATGAACTTTAAAGCAGTTTTTTCCAATTCTGTGAAGAAAGTCTTTGGTAACTTGATAGGGATGGCATTGAATCTATAAATTACCTTGGGCAGTATGGCCACTTTCACGATATTGATTCTTCCTATCCATGAGCATGGTATGTTCTTCCATTTGTTTGTGTCCTCTTTGATTTCACTGAGCAGTGGCTTGTAGTTCTCCTTGAAGAGGTCCTTTACATCCCTTGTAAGTTGGATTCTTAGGTATTTTATTCTCTTTGAAGCAATTGTGAATGGAAGTTCATTCATGATTTGGCTCTCTGTTTGTCTGTTACTGGTGTATAAGAATGCTTGTGATTTTTGCACATTGATTTTGTATCCTGAGACTTTGCTGAAGTTTCTTATCAGCTTAAGGAGATTTTGGGCTGAGACAATGGGGTTTTCTAAATATACAATCATGTAGTCTGCAAACAGGGACAATTTGACTTCTTCTTTCCCAACTGAATCCCCTTGATTTCTTTCTCTTGCCTGATTGCCCTACCCAGAACTTCCAACACTATGTTGAATAGGAGTGGTGAAAGAGGGCATCCCTGTCTTGTGCCAGTTTTCAAAGGGAATGCTTCCAGTTTTTGCCCATTCAGTATGATATTGGCTGTGGGTTTGTCATAAATAGCTCTTATGATTTTGAGATACGTTCCATCAATAACGAATTTATTGAGAGTTTTTAGCATGAAGGGCTGTTGAATTTTGTCAAAGGCCTTTTCTGCATCTATTGAGATAATCATGTGGTTTTGTCTTTGGTTCTGTTTATATGCTGGATTACGTTTATTGATTTGTGTATGCTGAACGAGCCTTGCATCCCAGGGATGAAGCCCACTTGATCATGGTGGATAAGCTTTTTGATGTGCTGCTAGATCCAGTTTGCCAGTATTTATTGAGGATTTTTGCATCAATGTTCATCAGGCATATTGGTCTAAAATTCTCTTTTTTTGTTGTGTCTCTGCCAGGCTTTGGTATCAGGATGATGTTGGCCTCATAAAATGAGTTAGGGAGGATTCCCTCTTTTTCTATTGATTGGAATAGTTTCAGAAGGAATGGTACCAGCTCCTCCTTGTACCTCTGGTAGAATTCAGCTGTGAATCCATCTGGTCCTGGACTTTTTTTTGTTGGTAGGCTATTAATTATTGCCTCAATTTCAGAGTCTGCTATTGGTCTATTCAGGAATTCCACCTCTTCCTGGTTTATTCTTGGGAGAGTGTACGTGTCCAGGGAATTATCCATTTCTTCTAGATGTTCTAGTTTATTTGCATAGAGGTGTTTATAGTACTCTCTGATGGTAGTTTGTATTTCTGTGGGGTCGGTGGTGATATCCCCTTTATCATTTTTTATTGTGTCTATTTGATTCTTCTCTCTTTTCTTCTTTATTAGTCTTGCTAGAGGTCTATCAATTTTGTTGATCTTTTCAAAAAATCAACTCCTGGATTCATTGATTTTTTGGAGGGTTTTTTGTGTCTCTGTCTCCTTCAGTTCTGCTCTGATCTTAGTTATTTCTTGCCTTCTGCTAGCTTTTGAATGTGTTTGTTCTTGCTTCTCTAGTTCATTTAATTATGATGTTAGAGTGTAAATTTTAGATCTCTCCAGCTTTCTCTTGTGGGCATTTAGTGCTATAAATTTCCCTCTACACACTTGGCTAGCCAACTTCCCCAGCACCATTTATTTTTATTTTTTTGTTTGTTTGTTTGTTTGTTTGTTTCTTCCTTTCCAACTATTATTTCTTTTGTTCTTTTTTTTTTTTTAATTTATTTATTATTATTAAACTTCAAGTTGTAGGGCAAGCATGTGCAATAACCAGGCAGGTTTGGTTACATATGTATAATACTTGTGCCATGTTGGGTGTGTTGCACCCATCAACTCGTCATTTCTACACTGTATAACTCCCAATGCAATCCCCTCCTCCTCCCCATGATAGGCCCTGCGTGTGACATGTTCCCTTCCCGAGTCCAAGTGATCTCATTGTTCAGTTCCCCACCTAACAGTGAGAACATGCAGTGTGTTTGGTTTTCTGTTCTTGTGATAGTTTGCTAAGAATGATGGTTTCCAGCTGCATCCATGTCCCTATACAAAGGACACAAACTCATCCTTTATGGCTTATTAGTATTCCATGGTGTATATGTGCCATTTTCTTAATCCAATCTGTCACTGATGGACATTTGGGTTGATTCCAAGTCTTTGCTATTAGTGAAGAAAAGGTAATAAACATACGTGTGCATGTGTCCTTATAGCATAATTTATAATCCTTTGGGTATATACCCAGTAATGGGATGGCTGGGGTCATATGGTACATCTAGTTCTAGATCCTTGAGGAATCGCCATACTGTTTTCCATAATGGTTGAACTAGCTTACAATCCCACCAACAGTGTAAAAGTGTTCCTATTTCTCCACATCCTCTCCAGCACCTGTTGTTTCCGGACTTTTGAATGATCGCCATTCTAACTGGTGTGAGATGGTATCTCATTGTGGTTTTGATTTGCATTTCTCTGATGCACAGTGATGATGAGCATTTTTTCATGTGTCTGTTGGCTGTGGCGAATGTCTTCTTTTTGAGAAATGTCTGTTCATATCCTTTGCCTACTTTTTGATGGGGTTGTTTGTTTTTTTTCTTGTAAATTTGTTTGAGTTCTTTGTAGGTTCTGGATATTAGCCCTTTGTCAGATGAGTAGATTGCAAAAAATTTTCTCCCATTCTGTAGGTTGCCTGTTCACTCTGGATGGTAGTTTCTTTTGCTGTGCAGAAGCCTTTAGTTTGATGAGATCCCATTTGTCAATTTTGGCTTTTGCTGCCGTTGCTTTTGGTGTTTTAGACATGAAGTCTTTGCCCATGCCTATGTCCTGAATGGTACTACCTAGGTTTTCCTCTAGGATTTTTATGGTATTAGGTCTAACATTTAAGTCTCTAATCCATCTTGAATTAATTTTCGTATAAGGAGTAAGGAAAGATCCAGT